AATGATGGAGCAAGTGGTCCACCTCCCAACCTAAAATATAACAACATGATAAACAGAAACAGAAATGGACCAAATGTATGATACAATGGATGTTCATTTTTTAAATAACTTGACCCACCTTTGAGGACCCCATGTGTGACTGCTGTACTACAGTTCTCTGGTTAAATCAACAACTTTTTTTTCAAAATGCTAAGAGCTCCTGCAAAGCTTATTCCAGACTCATGAAAACATTGATGCTACTTACTATTGGTAATTATCGGGAAACTCAGTCACTAATGCACACTAATCAGTACAAGAAGGAACATTTAATTTTCCAAACCTGCATATGGCTTTGGTCACAGCAATAGATGATAGCAAATTTAACTGACATGTTGCTTCTCTCAACCTGATTATAGTACAGATGGCTTAATACCTCTCTCCTGGAAAAGCTCCCCCATAAACCTCACTTATCAAGATAAGCTGGTTCCCTAATTACTGACATCCAACAATAGTATCCAGAAACAAATATGTGGGCATTGATGTTTTGGGCCCACAATCAATTTAGTTGATCTATGTACAGAATTCAGAGTGGATAGCATGCATGCTTGTCTGAATATGACATTTTATGTTCTGATTAGCATCAGCTGGAATTGAACTAAGCCATACAAAACTTATCTTCATAGGAACACAGAGAATACTGGCAGGAGAGGGTGCCAAACAGGCTGCTAAGGAAATAAAATTATTTCCTCTATCACAAGCTTCCTCCCACCCCTTGACAATATTTCCCATACTTAAGTTTGGCTCAAAAGTCTAGTACATTTATTTAATCTTTATTTTTTTATTTTTATGTGGTGCTGAGGATTGAACTCAAGGCCTCACGCATGTAAGGCTAGTGCTCTACCACTGACCACAACCCCAGCTCCCAGTCTAGTACATTTTTATTCACCAATGGAACCCCATGGACTTACCATGGACTTCTTTCCTGTTTGCTAATTACTAGGCACACGTAAAACAATGTATACTACCTAATATTAGCTGAGTCAAGCATATCTAAAAAGTCAGGGACTACAATTAGCTTGAGAGTTCTTCTAGAACCTAATCTTCTTGCAATACCAACTGCAAGTTTTACATAATACTCAGTGGAAGTACTTGCCCCCACAAACTTGCTTTCTACAACTTTCCAACTCTGCAAATGAGTTTCCTACTAGACTCTATGGTACTAACTGTCATAGGATCACAAATTTGGGGTGCAATAGGAATAGCACAAGTGCTGGATACCATAAAATATATACAAATAGCTGTGTTTAAGGAGTTATCCATACTAATTAAACAGTCCAAGGATTGGAACCTGGCAGAATCTCATCATTATTTATGGTCTGCGGTGGTAGATAATTATCGGCCTAGATTACTTACTGGCTGCTGACAGAGGAGTTGGTGTAGCTTAGCACATCTTGCTATATGTAGCAGGTAATGCCAAGTGTTAGAGATAGCCAGGGACCATCATTGACTAAACAATTGAACAAATCAAAATCCACCTTTTCTGACCTATTTTCCTGTCTTTCTCCTACTAAGTGGGCAGATTGGCTGTGAAAGGACTTTAAAATCCTACTTTGTGCCCTTATAGGAATTTTGTTGGCTTTATTACAGGCTCCAAACTCAGGAATTACAAAATAATATACTTCTTAAATTGTAAAGTAACATGAGGCCAGGGGATAAATTGTTAAATACATGAGTCAAAGCTAGCCTGTGTGTATTAGCCTCTATGATATTTACTTCTTCAAACAGGTAAGGTCTGTTCATAATTCTGCTGGTACCCAAACTCAATTTTTAACCAATCATTTTAAATATAACCCCAAACAGCTTTTTAGCCATTTAGAGACTTCCTGGTTTACATGTCACTGTGAAACTATCCATCTGCTAGCCATAGGTGATAACCTGGGGGAAGTAAAACAAAATCCTACTCTACAGCCCTTCTTTAGACCCAGAGACTCCCTGCTGTGGCTCTGAGACATCACATAGATACATAACTTTTCTCTGGGATTCTCCTCTCCACTTGTGAATGGTGTCCTGCAACCAGCCTCCAGTAGGTCTCAGGCTTTAATGAGCATCCACCTCTAACCCCTTGCAAACCTGGTCAAAGGGTTGAACAAATAAAACTCTAGTGCTTCTGCCACCTTGTATTCATATCTTTGTCCTTGTTGAGTCACCAAGTCCCTTGAAATCACTATGATTTCACCTATTTTCATTCTACATATAACTTAAATCACATATGATTATCATTATTTTACAATGTCGATATGTATATTACCCCACACATTTATCCTTTCTCTAATGGTTCACTTCTGGCATCTCTTCATTTTCATATGGGAACCTATCCTTTCAGTATTTCCTTTAGTGTGGGCTTTTCAATCATCAAAATATTCAAGTTTGTCTTCTGGAAATTTCTTCTTCTTCTTCTTTTTTTTTTTTTTTTTGAGGCGGGGTCTTGCAATGTTGCCCAGGCTGATCTCAACCTGGTGAGATCAAGTGATCCTCCCACCTCAATCTCCCAAGTAGCTGGGAGTATCACCATGCCCAGCTAATTGTTTTTTGCATTTTCATTTTTGATGGGTGATTTCAATAGGTTTAGACTTCCAAATTGTCAGCTTGGAAATCATAAAATTCATTGAGTGACAAAATTACATGCAATGTAAGGCTCATCACTTTGCACATCCTTTTTTCTTCTGAGATCATGACTTTTCAAGATTTCATTGCCTTGATAGATTTCTGGTGCTGTCCTGGTAGTTTGTGTGTGTGCCTCTGTGTGTGTGTGTGTGTGTGTGTGTGTGTGTGTGTTGTGTGGTGCTGGGGATTGAACTTGTACTAGGCAAACACTCTACCACTAAACTGCATCCCCAACTCTCTTGGTAGTTTATGATGCCTTCAGTTTCTTTCCTCAAAATTTCTAGTTGCTTTTTGGCAGGTCCTAAATGAGGTTCCTTTACCAGAAATGGAACTCTTCAACATCATCATAAAGACTTATTTTTATTTAATTTTTCAGTACTGTGATTTGTTTAAATAATTAATTTAACATCCATATAGTTTTCAGTTATGTTATATTAAATTTCATAATGAAAACTAGTTAAATCCTTGTACATATAGCTTATGATTTCCTTAGAATCTATTTCCATAGATAGAATTGCTAGCTTTTAAGATTTGATCAGTGTCAGGGCCATTGGAAATCACTGGAATATTTGCTTCTGAGGCTTAGAAATAGCCCAGATTTTTTGGTCATTCCTCTCTAAATGGGTATCTGGGCATAATATCTGCATTTGACTTCCAGAATTGAAATTAGATGCATGGCATAGGCGGACTGCTTTCACCAGCTGGAGACAGATGTGGTGACATTTTGTGGCTACAGCCAGTTGTTTTCCCTCCCCAAACAAGCGTAGAGAAAGTCAACTCCCAGTTTGTTGTGGAGACATTAAGAAAGACCACATAGTTGTAAATGTTTGGAGCAAGGTATAAACACATTGGTAGAGAGTCAACAATGGTAAGCATGCTCTAATGGGCACTCCTGCTCTCTCTCTCCCCCCTTCCTCCCTCTTTCCTCTAGAAGGACCTGTCTCTGCACTCCACTCTCTTCCTCCTAGCTTATTACTACTGTACTATTTTCAGTTGGAATGCTTTTCTCATCCTTGTCCTTTTGGTATATATCTACCCATTCACCTTTAAACACCAACTCTTCAATGAAGCTCTTTCTGGATCTACAGGTAGATCCACTATACTTGGTACAAACTTCTAGAAAAATTTACTTCACTTGTTTTTTGACTGACTCCCACTCTTACAGTGCTTATTGAATGAATAAACTAGGGGGTCAAGATTGGATTTTTCTCAAAAGTGCTAGAGTAAGTTCTTTGGATTTGACAAAGGGGAATGAAGAGAATTGGACATTACTATGCTATGTGCATATATGATTACACAATCAATGTAATTCTGCATCATGTACTACCAGAGGAATGAGAAGTTATACTCCATATAAGTATACTATGTCAAAATACACTCTACTATCATGTATAACTAATTAGAAGAAATAAAAAAATGCTAGAGAAATAGAGTAAAACAGAGTAGGTAACAATCATTAACACTGATTATGCCCAGATACCTATTTGAGAGGAAAGACCAAAAAGTCTGGGCTATTTCTAAGCCTCAGAAGCAAATATTCCAGTGATTTCTAATGGCTCTGACACTGATCAAATCTTATAAGCCAGCAATTCTACCTCTGAAAATAGATTCTAAGGAAATCATAAGCTATATGTACAAGGATTTAACTAGTTTTCATTATGAAATTTAATATCACAGTGCTAATGATTGTATCTCAATTGACCCTGACAACAGCTCTATTAAATGGGCCAGTGACTTGGGAGTAAGGGGATTACACAAATCTTGGAATTTTAGTGGCTTTCCCAAGGCAGGTTGTAATTATCTGTACAGGTTAGTGTTGGGGCTGGCAATAGTGAAATTTTCAAGCTTGTTTCAGGCTTCTTGATTAAGACTAAATCCTGGGCCTTCAGACCCTCTGGAGAAGAGTTCTTCCTAGCTCACAGAAGTAGGAGAGTTTTTAGAGACCTAAATGGATAAAGTGATAGAGGATACAGGGGCAGGGATGATGATGACTGCACCCTTCCAGAGATTATGAACATTTTTCTCTGAAATGTTTTTTGGGAAAGGACAATTCCCAAGGATATTAGCTACCAAATTCGAGAATCTATTAAGCCTGGCACTGTGTGTAGAAGCCCTCTAATCCATACCCTAATTCTGAGAAGCAGCTATTATTGCCTCTGTTTTTATTCTCTACCCATCTGCTCCAAGCTCCTTGTCTCAGTCTACCAAAGCCTCCCTCCTGCAACTGCGCTGCTTTGGTGCAGAATCACCGCAACCACTTTCTCAGACCCAGGGGAGGGGCTGGGCTGGGCGGGGTCGCCTTGTCGCAGAGCCCGACTGCGCCTGCGCGGACTGCGGCAGAAGGCGGGGTGTGACAAGCAGAGTATATACTGAGACTAGCGTTCGCTGTTGGCCAGTACCTGCCTCCTTTCTCACCACCTCTGATTTCAGCTCCAGTAAGTTGCTTGGGACTTTGGTTTGGCAGCAGCCGCAGCGCAGCATAGCCACTGTGCCGTCCTCTTTCTGCTAGATCCCCGGCCTGTCGGTGTCTGCTCCCATACGCCGGTCGGCAGGACCATGTCGCTGGTAAGCCAGAATTCGCGCCGCCGCCGCCGCCGCAGTGCAAAGGCCACTGCGCAGAACAGCAGCTGGGGTGAAATGCAGGCCCCTGACGCCCCCAGTCTCTCCGCTGCTATGCCAGGCCCAGACGTCCCCCAGGGTCCCAGCGATCTGGAGACCCTCCAGGGTCTCTGCGCCTCAGAGGACCCAGGCACCTCCGTGCCGCCCACCCCTGATGAGGGCCCAACCACCTCTGAGCCGCCCACCGTCTCTGAGGGCTCAATCGCCTCCGAGCAGCCCACCGTCTCCGAGGGGCCGAACACCTCAGAGCTGCCCACCCCCATTGAGGGCCCAAGCACCTCTGGGCCTCCTGCGGTCTCTGAGGGACTGAACACAGCCGTATTGATCAACGCCTATGAGGGCCTAAGCCCCCCTGTGTCACCCTCTGCTTCTGAGGGCTCAAGCGTCTCTGAGCAGCCCACTGTCACTGAGGGGCTGAACACCTCCGAGCTACCCCTCTCCCATGAGGGCTCAAGCACTTCTGTGCTGACCACCACCGCTGAGGGACTGGGCATCTCCGTGTCGCCCACCCCCGCTGAGGGCCCCAGCACCTCCGTGCTGACCACCGTCTCTGAGGGACTGGGCATCTCTGTGCCGCCCACCTCCAGTGAGGGACTGAGCAATCTCATGCCGCCCACCCTCTCCAAGGGACCGGGCATCAACGTGCCGCCCCCATCCGGTGAAGGCCCGAGCACCTCTGTGCCGCCCACCACCTCTGAGGGACCTGACACCTCTGTGCTGCCCCCATCCGGTGAAGGCCCGAGCACCTCTGTGCCGCCCACCACCTCTGATGGACTAGGCATCTCCGTGCCTCCCTCCTCCAGTAAGGGCCAGAGCACCTCTGTGCTGCCCTCCTCTGGTGAGGGCCCGATCACCTCGGTGCCGCCCACTGACTCTGAGGGACCTGGCGCCTCGGAGCCGCCCACCCGCGGTGAGGTCCCGAGCACCTCCGTGCGGCTCAATTCCGGGGAGGGCCCGAGCACCTCTGGAATGGCCACTGCGGCCGAGAACCCGAGCACCTCTGGGATGCTGACAGTTGGGGAGGGCCCAAGCACCTTTGAGATGGCCGCCGCCGCCGCCGCCGCTGAAGGCCCCAGCACCTCTGGGTTGCTCATCATTGCCGAGGGCCCGAGCACCTCTGGAATGGCCCCCGCCGCAGAGGGCCCGAGCACCTCTGAGATGCTGACAGTTGGGGAGGGCCCGAGCACCTTTGAGATGGCCGCCGCCGCCGCCGCCGCCGCCGAGGGCCCGAGCACCTCTGGGCTGGCCACAGCCGCCAAGGGCCCGAACACATCTGAGATGCTGACAGTTGGGGAGGGGCCGAGCACCTTTGAGATGGCTGCCGCCGCCGCCGCCGCCGCCGAGGGCCCGAGCACCTCTGGGATGGCCACAGCCGCCGAGACCCCGAGCACCTCTGGGATGCTCACCATTGCTGAGGGCCCGAGTATCTCTGAGATGGCTGCTGCCGCAGAATGCCCAAGCACCTCTGGGATGGCCGCCGCTGCTGCTGGCCCGAGCACCTCTGGGATGGCCGCCGCCGCTGACGGCCCGAGCACCTCTGGTATGCTCGCTGCTTCTGCGAACCCTGCTCCAGTGTTGAGCTTGGGTGCTTCTGTGGGCCCGACCTCCTCCAAGTGCCCTATTGCTTTGCCAAGCTCCTGCGTCGCCAGGTCCTCCTCCGACTCTAAGCGCCCCAAGGGTGCGGAAGGCCCCATGGAATTCCAGGTCCTCAGAGACCGTGAGAACTCCAACTCCATTACGATTATGGGCCTTGGCACTACCCAGGTAGCGCTAACCCTGAAGCCCCAAGATCCTATGGAGCAGAATGTAGCTGAGTTGTTACAGTTTCTGCTGGTGAAGGATCAGAGCAAGTACCCTATCCGGGAATCCGAAATGCGGCAATATATTGTCAAAGAATATCGCAGCCAGTTCCCTGAGATCCTCAGGCGAGCAGCAGCCCACCTGGAGTGCATTTTTAGATTTGAATTGAGGGAGCTTGATCCTGAAGAGCGCACATATATCCTGCTCAACAAGCTGGGGCCTGTGCCCTTTGAAGGACTGGAAGAGAACCCAAATGGGCCAAAGATGGGCCTCCTGATGATGATCCTAGGACAAATCCTCCTGAATGGCAACCAAGCCAAGGAAGCTGAGATTTGGGAAATGCTCTGGAGGATGGGGGTGCAGCGAGAGAGGAGGCTTTCCATTTTTGGGAACCCAAAGAGACTTCTGTCTGTAGAGTTTGTATGGCAGCGGTACTTGGACTACAGGCCAATAACTGACCGTACCCCAGTGGAATACGAATTTTTCTGGGGACCAAGATCCCACATAGAAACCAGCAAGATGAAAATTCTGAAGTTCATGGCTAAGATCTATAACAAAGATCCTTCCGACTGGCCAGAGCCATACAATGAGGCTCTGGAAGAAGAGGCTGCTAGAGCCTATGCTGAGGGTTGGCAAGCTCTCCCTCCCTTTAGGAGGCCCTTTTTTGAAGAAGCTGCAGAGGTAGCATCTCCTGATTTTGATGTTTCTGCCTATCCCTCAAAATATCCTCCACATTCATGGCCTGAGTCAAGAATGGAGAGCAAGTCAAGGAAGTTGGTGCAGTTATTTCTGCTGATGGATTCGACTAAGCTGCCTATACCAAAGAAAGGAATTCTGTACTACATTGGCCGAGAGTGCAGCAAAGTATTCCCTGACCTCCTGAATCGTGCTGCTCGCACCCTGAACCACGTGTATGGGACAGAGCTAGTGGTTCTGGATCCAAGAAACCACTCCTATACCCTGTACAACCGAAGAGAAATGGAAGATACTGAAGAGATTGTAGATAGTCCAAATAGGCCTGGCAACAACTTCTTGATGCAGGTTCTGAGCTTCATCTTTATAATGGGCAACCATGCTAGGGAGTCTGCAGTGTGGGCCTTTCTGCGGGGCTTAGGGGTTCAAGCTGGGAGAAAGCATGTGATTACCTGTAGGTATTTGAGTCAGCGCTACATAGACAGTTTACGGGTTCCCGACAGTGATCCAGTACAGTATGAGTTTGTATGGGGCCCTAGAGCCCGCTTGGAAACCTCCAAGATGAAAGCGCTGCGCTATGTGGCCAGAATCCACAGAAAGGAGCCACAGGACTGGCCAGAGCAGTACAGGGAGGCAATGGAAGATGAGGCCAATAGAGCTGATGCTGGTCACAGGCAATTCCTTGTTCACAACTTCAGATAGAGGAGTATGTGGCAGTCAGAGAGGCCTTGCAAGGCCGGGCCCTAGAGCCCTATGCCTCATGTATTGGGTGTGGGGGGGTATGTATTGTATTTGTATTTGTGTTCCAGTTCCATTTATGTCTTTTCATATTTAGTTCTTGTTTGGTATCTTGAAATGTTTCAATTGTTTTAATATATTGTCCAGTAGGGTAAATGTGATTGACTACTTGCTGTCTCTGTTGTATTTTGGTATAAGAGTTTTGATAGTGTTATAAAATGTTTTGGGAATCTTTCCATCTTGTTGCATTATCTGGAAGAGAATATATAGCATATAGCTATAGATATAGGCTTTTCCTTGAAAGCTTGAAAAAAATTCACCAGTAAAGTGATCTAGCTTCTGATGTTAAACAAACAAGCAAATATATCAACAACTGAAAAAGCACTCTAAGTTATGGCTGGCCTCCCTTTCTGTCTGCTATTGTGTAAAGAATACCAATGTTTACCTGTATTTGCTTTGCTGTACTAAAATGTAATGAAAAATAAAAGTGTAATAAATCAAACATAATGCTAATGCACTATTTATTCCACAAACATTTATTAAATTTCTTTCATGCAATGAGCACAGTGTTATTATTTTGGTTATACAAGTATACAAATATACAAGATATAACATCACTCTGAAACTCAGGGACTGGGGTGTAGGGGGTGGTCACTTAAATCAGCAATTTTATTATGGTGCACCAAGTATTCTATGAGAGTTAAGAGGAGGTATACCTAACTTAATCCCTGGGATGTTCAGAGTGGTCCTTGGAGAAGATGATGGCTGTGTGGGGGATGAGGGGGGCAAGATTGGGTCCCTAATACAATCATGAGATAAACTGCTTCAAAGCTGGATTTCAGTCCTCATGATTGCTTATAGGAAATTAAGTCAAATATTTAAGGGCAAAGGGTGAGAGGTTTTATGATAATAAACCATCCCATTAAGACATATGAATCAGCTTTCTGTAAGTTATACTGTAGTTCTTAATCTCCAAATTCTAGTGGTATACAACAATTATTTTGGGGCTCATTTTATCTATTCTTCATGGGTTGCATTTGATTCTGTTTATTTTGTCTTCAATCAGGTAACCAAGCTAAAGAAGTAGCCCATATAGTAGGAAACCATGTGATAGTTCTTAAAGCATCTGCTCATACATATTATACTCATAATCCATTGGCAACAGCAAGTCATATAACCAAGCTTGTTCTCAATGGGGTGGGAAGTGTACTCCCACCAAGGAGTAGGGATGGGCCTAGTACAAGAACAACATATATTTTATTTTATTTTTTTAAATCCAGCCTTTTTTATTTTTATTTTGTTAGTTATAGGCAGACACAACATCTTTGTTTGTATGTGGTGCTGAGGATCGAACCCGGGCCACACACATGCCAGGCGAGCCCGCTACCGCTTGAGCCACATCCTCAGCCCGACAACATATATTTTAAAAATTCAGTACCATATAAAAATTTTGCTTTTGCTATGGCTGAGATGGGAAACTATTAAACTATTAAACTATTAAAGGATTTTGATCTGAATAATGGAAGGATACAACTTAGTTTTGACAGAATTACATTGACTCTTGTATTGAAAATCTAAAGTGGGGCAGAAAATCTAAAGGAGGGCAGAAGCTATAATTTTAGCATAGCAGTTCCTTCTTAATGTTCTTATGAAAAGAAGTGTTATTTTTCAAACAAAATTGAGTTGAAATGAATTGAAGTCAGGAAGCCTGTTACCTTTGAAAAAAACACCTCAGAAATCAAAACTCCAGGAATATCAAGTTTAAAAGGCATAGCATAGTGTTCTAGAGTCATAGTGCCTGGATATAAACCCTGACTCTCTGATAATTACTAGATGTGATATCTTAGGAAAGTTACTCAATCTCTTTGTGCTTCAGGATCCTTGTCTGTAAAATGGTCATAATAATTTTATTTAATTATAAATTAAACAAATCACAACTAATGTTGTGAGGATTAAATATGTTAACATATAAAACCCAGAACTTAACATATATTTAGCAATATAGAGGTGATGTTGCAAGTTGATTTTTCTGGGAATGAGGCTATGAAGTGGATATTCTCCTGACAAAAATTTTACTGGGGACTGGTTTTGCATTCAACACCCAGGGGAAAACAAAGGAAGCAAAAATATTAGAGAGAGAAAAGCTGAGCAGTGACAGTGTCACAACAAATAATTTAGTTGATTCCACAGGCAGTTTTTAGGTTGGGATGGCCTTGCAGAGCTGTCCCAAATTAGGAAAAGGGGGCCACAATTTTATAATCCCTAGACTGACCAGTCACTGAATGCAGGCTATCTCCTGGTAAGGGGCTATGGAAAAGTCAGTTATTTTCAGCCACAAGTAATATGTGAGAAATATATTCAACTATAAACACAGCAGTGGTCAACACCCTCAAGAACTGGAGGAATGAGCACTTCAGTCCTGAACAGTAAGGGCATCTGGTGGTACATCACAATATCCACTATGGTTGTTGCTTTCTTTTGCTTCCCCTTCATTCTCTGTAATTCTTCTTCTTGTTGTTATTATTCCTGCTGTTTTTGTTTTCATTCAAAAAGGTGAAATATTTTCTCATCATTCTCCCTGGAATGTAGCACCCACATCACTGAGTCACTTTATTTTTGGTACAACCTTCCTTTTTTTTAAAGAGGCTTTTAATAAATAGAGCTTCTTTTTACCTCATAAGTTCTATGTCAGTTTTTAATTTTTTTTTTTCATGTTTCTTGTAGACTTGTGTCTTTGTCAAGTTTTTCCCAGGAGATGTTACCTAAGTAAGTCTCTCAATAGGTTTTTTTTTTTTTTTTTTTTTGCTATTTAAATCTTGAGAAATACCTTGATTTCAGATAAATTTGATCAATATGCACAAATATTCAGAATATCCCTCTAAGGACAACCAAGGTAGAAAATATAGTCTTTCATGCTTTTCTCTTAGAAATGACAATTTTGGACACAGATAAAATATCTGATTAAATATTCAAGATTTAAAGAAAGAAAAAATTATTATCCTGAAATAATTATAAAATTGAAGTATCTATTTTAGCAGAGGATTAGTTGAGTAAGGTGTTTGCAAGTTAAAACTGTGTGTTTGTGTGTGTACAAAATATTTGGAACAATTTACATTCTCATATGTGCTAATTAACATTCTCTTACCATAACAAAATATCTGAGATAATCAAATTAAAAAGAAATGGGGTTTATTTTGGCTCACAGTTTTGGAGGTTTCAGTCCATGGACAGTTGGCCTGAAGCTTTGGGGTCTGTGGCAAGGCAGTATGTCATGATGGAATTGCATGGTGAAGGAAGCCTATTCACCTTATGACCAGGACAAGACAGAGACCAGTATCTCACAATTTTCTACAAAAGCATGCCCCCAGTGACCTAAGACATCTCACTAGGCCCCACCTTTTAATGGTTTCACCCCCCCCAGCAAAAAAAAAAAAAAGCTCCATGGGCTGAGAACAAGGTTTTTAACATATAGATCTTTGGGGGACATTTCAGATTCAAACAACAGAATCAATTATTTCCTGTTTTGCCACTGTATTCAAACCCATTTATAGACACATAATTAGGTGTCTATATAAAATATAAACAATGCTTAAGCAAGATCTACTTTACTTATAACCAACCCAATCCTTGAAAATAGTGACATTTTAATAGAAAATACTCTTACTGAATGTAAAGCATTTAATCAGATATTCATAAAGGAAAAAAACACACACACAGTAGCACAAACAAAATGCAAATATTGTACAATGTTCAAGTTAATGAAAATGAATAATAATTAAAATTATCTTTAAAATATGCAGTCATTTATTCTAAATAGAAATATTTAGAAACAAGTACTATAAAATTAATAAGCATGTCTTGCAATTTCTATTACTCTCTTGAAGGAAAACTCCCAAAAGAATCCCAAAGACTTATGTCTTTGTCAAGTTGTTCCCAGGAGATGTTACCTGAGCAAGTCTCTTAACAGGAAAGGAAACAGTTGATTAAAAAACCATTACTAATGAGGACAGGGTGTGTAGCTCAGTGGTATAGTACTTGTCTAACATGCGTAAGGCTCTGGGTTTAGTTCCTAGAAACACACACACACATACACACACAGAGACTGAAACAACCATTATGATGAAAGTAATGTCAATTTAAGGCAATCATTAATAGATCCTAAAGATCATAATTGTACTGATACCAAACTTGGAATTTTATGTAAACTGTTGCTTCCAACAACTTATTTATAAAATTAAAGATATTTACTGCCCTTCTTGCTTGGTTCTCACATATCTCTGTTCAAATACATCAATTTGGATTAGGACACAAGCTTTTGTTTCACAATTCCTCATACTCAGTGGAGGGTCATGCTCTTGTGATCATATGAATGTGTGCTATTTTGTTGAAATGTGCCTCAATCATTCTGCATTAAGATAATGATCATTTGCCAGGCTGGTGGAGCATGCATGCCTATGATCTCAGCGACTCAGGAGACTGAGGCATGAGGATCAAAAGTTTGAGACCAGCCCTAAGCAACTTAGATCCTGCCTCAAAATAAAAAAAAATAAAAAGAGCTGGAGATGTAGCTCAGTGGTAAAACACCCTTGGGTTCAATACTACTACCACCACTACTACTAGACCTGTGTAGTTATACCCTTGCAAAGATCATTAATTGTCTAATTGTAGTGCTCATCTATGATGGAACATAAAATTTCTGAACTCCATAGCAAATGTGTCTTCTTGCTACATGAAACAGAATCACAGGTGGGACTCTATTGTCTTCTTGCTGATAAATGGCTGTATAATATTTCCCTTTATTATTATTATTATTTTTTGGTACCAGGGATTGAACCCAGGGGCTCTTTACCACTGAGCTGCATCCCCAGCCTTTTTCATTTTTATTCAGAGACAGGGTCTCACTGATTTTCTTGGGGGCCTTGCTAAGTTGCTGAGTCTAGCTTTGAACTCACAATCCCCCTGCCTCTGCCTCCCAAGCCACTGGGATTACAGGTGTGTATCACCACTCCCGGCTATAATATTTCCCTTTTTGTCAAAGAAATTACACAACCACTTAATCTAAACTGCTGAAGTTTCAGGTTACATTCTTCAGGTGATTACTTATTTTAATGATGACTCATCAAAATTGTAAAATTTTATTTCCCCAAAGTTGAATTTGGTATACAGCTTTCAAAACTGGTGGATGAAATAGAAAGTATGATTATGGGAATGCAGAACTGTCATAGTTTGTGGGTTATTTAGATAGTATCAAAGCAGTCATTTTGAGATGAGTATAATTTTTTTCCTGAGTGAAATAGCTTTGTTCTATCTTCCTAGATTAGGGTACTTCAAAGACTTACAGTGATAAAAAGCAAGTAAGTTAATGGCAGTCACTAGATTTGGATGAAAATATGCCACATACGCTTCTGACAATAAATGTTTCAATTAATCTTAAAAAAGAAAATATGTAAAGCAAGGAAACACTTAGGTCTCAGATGATAGACACAATGTAAAAACTAAAAGGTCAACAAGAAGGAAAAAAAAACAATAACTAAAGGATTGAAAACAGAGTAGCTAAG